AAAGGTCTTAAAAGAAAAAGAAAGTAGAGAAGTACAAGACAACTTCAAAGTCAAAGGTCAAATAGAAGAGCAATAAAGATTTCTTTAAAGAAAATTATAAAAAATAAAAGGAAAAAAGAATGAATTCTACTTAAAAACGATAGAGAAATTTACTTAAAAAAAGTTACAAAAAAGACTAGCAAACTTGTTATAATAGAGCATTAGAAAAAAGATTTGCAACAAAATGAAGAAACTGAAGTTTTTATCAAATGCAATAGTTGCAAGTTAGAAAATTATAATAATAATACCTGCTCAATTAATCTTAAATATAAAAACTAGTATCAAGTAGTAAAAGTCTTCAAAAAAGAAAATATATAAAGACTCAAAGCCCTAGTAATAGTACTTACTAACAAAAAAGATAAAATTGAAAGTAAAAGACTTAGTTAGAAAGTTAATAGCAAAATTACAATAAGCAATCTGAAGAGTGCAATCATACAAAAATTAGTAAAAGATAAAAATATGCAAAATAAATTAATTAACCTAAACTATAAACTAAAAAAGAAGGAAAATATAGAATTTTATATAGATAGTATATTGACAGCAAACAGAAATTCAGAAAATATAAATAGGATGAGAATAGAATAGGTTTTTAAAGAAAAAAATAGAATAGATAATAGTATTAGCTTTAGTAGTAGAATAGAAAACTAGTTTTTCTTAACTCGTGCAGAACTTGAAGCTATCTGAACTGCTTTACTAGTAGCATCTATTAACTCTAAAGTTTCTATATATACAAATAGCAAATCAGCAATCAAAACTATAGAAAAATACTAAAAAAAGATCAAAATTAGAAGCTGGTTTAAAGCAAAAAATAGAAGTATCATAAGATAAATTATTGACTGTTACAAAACAAAATACTCAGAATTACTATTATACAAAGTTAAAGGTTATAGTAGAATTCTAGCAAATGATATAGCACATAAGCTAGCTAAACAAGATATAATATCAAGCAATATTCTCAAAGTCTCAGAAACATCTTTTGAAGATTTTATATTCACTTCTAAATAGAAAGACTAGAGCATTAACAGTATATTACAGTCTTTTATAAATATTACAATTACAATAAACTATAAAACAAAGTAGTCAGAACTAAGCAAAGTAGCAAATATTATTGTCCAAAACTAGAAAAATAATTCTAATATTATGCTAAATTGAAACAATATATAGTAAGTACTTAAAACTTGTTAAGGAAAAAAAGGAGTTAGCATGAAAAAGAGCAAAGAGCTTATCTTTTATATAAAATACATAAACAATATATTGCTAACAAAAGATATATGTTATTAATAAAACCCAAAGCTATACAAAAGTCAAAAATATATAGCTTGCTATAGAAATGACAAATTATTTTACCATATTGCAGAATATGAAATATATCAAAAAATCTAAGACAATTTAAAAAAAAAGGCAATACAGTTAACAAAACTTAAAGCTTCAACAAAGCTAAACTTAGCAATTAGCAAAACTCTGCTAAAAGAAGTAATTTATGACAAAGATATTAGCACTAAAATAAACTGTAGAAAAATGCTTTTAAGAGGTTTTACTAATAATAAACAACAAAAAGAGATCTTTAATATAATCTTATCTAGTAACAAAGCAAACAAGATTCTAACTAGCTTTATTAAATACTTCTGGAAATGCTTTTATGAATGACTATGGAAATTCTACTATGAAATAATGATAGAATAGAAAAAGAACTAGAGTATCTCAACTGTAGCAAAAAAGAAAAAGTTAAGAAAAGGAAAAAACCAAACAAAAATAAAGAAAATACAAGACTTCTCAAACTGTTAAAAGAAATGAAATCAGAAAAAGAAGCAAGAATTCAAAAGGAAACCTCAAATAAAATTAACAAATAGTTAAAATTAGGCAAGAAAGAGAAGTAGTTATATTTTAAAATTTAAATAAGAGATCTTGATATAGGCTAGTAGTAGCTTCTCAATAATTAGAAGTCAAAAGTATGTACATACAAACTAAAGCTTCTATAAGAGAAATAGTTGCTGTAACAAATCACACTTGGATACCTAAAGGCAGCTGAGTAAGCTTGAAATAATCAAAAGATGAATAGTTTAATATAAATTTTGTAATAAATTATCTTGTAGCTTATAATAGCTTTTCCTTAATAAAATAATAGACAAGATTATTTAAGTTAAAAAAAAATAATAATATCTTTTTTTGAATTATAAAAAAGCTTTTATTGTAAGTAAACTAGAAATTTAGATATTTTAGTAGAGTATATTTGTTGTTTGCTATTATTATTTGATCTTAAAAAGTAATTGTTTTAATTTTGTCAAGAAAGTTTGTAATTAGTATAGATTTGAATAGGTTTATCTTTATATTAGTAAATCTATAAAATAAGTTTGCTATCTGAAAAGTTTCTAGAAGAGTATATTTGTTTTGTGCTATCTAAAATAAGTTATTTATATATATTAAAGTTGAGATATATATTTTTAGATCTCAGATAGATCAGAATAGTTATATTATAACTAATATATTAGTTATGAATTCTTTGAATTAATAATATATTTTTTAGAGTAAGAATAAAAAGGTTTCTTTCTAGTTTGCTCTATCTTCAACATAGTATAGTCTAATGAAATCTTAATTTGTAATTACTTAATTTGTTAAATAATTTAGAATAAATAGGAGAGTATTAGTAATTTTTTTAAAAAGTTGAATTCTGTTTAGTATTTTTTCTAATATTAGTATATATACAAAGTTAAATATCTTTAATATGTTTTGTAAGAGTAACTAATATTCTTATTTTGTTATTAAAGTATTTTCTAAGATATTTGTAAGCTATTATATAGATTATAAAATTGATTAATAAGATAAAATAGTAAATTTAGACTACTCTAATTTGATTTTATATTTAATATAATACTAATAAATAATCTGCAACTCTAAATAGAAGGAGAGTAAAAAATATAAGATTTTGATTAGCTAAAAAAAATTTTTTTTGAACAGTTAATATGTTTTTTATATTAAGTGATGTTTATTACTCACTCTATTTGAGGCTCAAAAGAGAGAAAGGTTATGTTAAACATAGCTTTAACTTGGTATAGCTTTAATTAGATATTAAAAGTATAATATATTATATAAATAAATTTTAATAGGATCTACAGTAGACTCAAAAATTATATCACAGTTACATAAAAAAAACATAACATAAATTCATGCAAAATGTATACGTAATAAATTAATCATAGAATTAATCATTATTAAATATATATTTAAGAAAACAAAAAATTAATTGTTCATCTTTTTCATTATTCATATTTTCATTTATCATTATCATAAACTGTAAACATGCCAAGAAATATTCAATTAACTGACTTTGAAAAAGGACAAATTATTGGAATGTATAACCTTGGAACTACTTTAACTTTTATTATTACAATAATAAATCGTGACCATACTACTGTATCTTACTTTTTAACTCAGCTCAGAGAATATGAAAGTAGTAAAACTGTTTCACATTCAGGAAGACTATCAATTATAACTCCTGAAGATGAATAAAATCTTATTATTGCAACAATTAATAATAATCCTTTATCACTTTATCAAATATTAAGTAATATTAGTATTGATGTTTTACAAGCTATAGCAAGAAACATCTTACACAGATATAGAATAAGAGGTCGTATCACTACTAAGAAACCAGGTTTGAATTCAAGACAAGTAAAAGCATGACTTGTCTAGTATAATGCCTATGCAAACTGGAATGTAGATGATTAGCAGAAGATCATTTTTAGTAATGA